ATTCATCTGCCTTGTGTGTATACTGTAGGTGTGGTGTGATTTTTCTTGCCAAATCAGAAGAACTTCTGGGAGGGTCACACTCTTGGTTTTACTGCTTGTTCTGATTTACATGTTTGATCATATCCTCCCATGTAGCTCATGGCGGTTATTTCCCGAGGACTACTGCACCATAACAGTTTAGGATATTGAAAGGAGAATATACATTTTAATAGTTATAATAGTTCCTCTTAAATGGCTGTATGACTATAAAAGCAAACGTTCAGGTTGTTTAAATTGTGGTTGGATAAACTGAGCTGAAACAAGGTGAGGATTTAAACCAGGAAGCAGCTCTTTATTTTGATGGTTTCTGACTCAGTGAAGTTAAAAGTCATCGGCGTGGAGTGGAGCAGGTGTAGCTTTTATAGCTTTAGTATTTTAACTAAAAACCGGTTGTTTCCTTGTTTCTTCATTTGCACTTATGGTTTCAGTGAGACTAAACATCTGTGTCTCAGGTGGGGTTTTTTAGTACCTTTGACAATTACATTTGAAACCATTTTCCATACAATCCCTCCCTCCCCCCCAAAAAAAGCCTGTTCATTATAAGGCTCGCTGATATACTGTCATACCCTCCCTCTCTCCACTGTCTTTGTCCCTGTATCTGCTTAATCGCAAATATCTTGTCATATGTTCACAGGGAGTCACATAGGAGAAGAAACACACGTGCAGCATTAGAAAATCTAAAAAGCTCTTGTCTTCTTCTTCCCACGGAGATATAAACACATGACATCACAGGGTGGTCCGCTCTCTGTTGAGCTGAGCTGAGCCACGCTGAGTAGGTCTCCGCAGGTCTGCCAAACAGATGGCGGTAGGAGCATAATGAGGGCTGGAAACAAACTCTAACATTTTGCACAGACCTTCTGCACAAGGATCCATGTTTGTAAAAAACTGTAGCTGTGAATACAGCGGATGTTCTTTATCTGTCCCCACTGTAAAACAGAATATTCCCTTCTTTTTAAGTGCATACAGTGCCTGAAAGAAATCAAACCTGAGCAGCACTGCAGACAAAACACTCTCTTACAAATGTCAGAATCCTTGGGGTTTGAAGGTTAAGCAGTGGGAACCACCTTGTTGCTCAATCAGGCCATGAAAGCTTCTTATGTGTGGCCACAAGAAAGTCAAAACAACTGGTTACTCACAACTGTCTGACATTTGGACTAGGATACTGAGGAAGGGAGAAAGGGAGGGAGACAGGAAAAATGAATTAAACAAAGGTGTGTGGGGGAGGTTACTGCCTTCTACACCTGAGTCTGATGTCGTAAAACTACGTTTTGTAGAACAGCATTATCAAAGGCTTCATGTCCTAATTGTATTCATGATGCTTGTAATAAAGTCAAGATGTTTTTCAGAGTTTCCGTAGAAACAGTGTAACTTAAAAAGCAGTTCCATTCATTGTACTGAAAACGTTTTACTCCATCGTTAAATGCATCTGTTTTCTTTTGTCTCGTCAGATGAAGTGTCAGAGAATCCTCACCTACCTGAGGATATTCGGAACCACCATGTTTGGCATTTCCCTTCTGGTAGGCATCTCCACGGCCTACATCATGGGCTACCAGTTCTTCACCACGGCCAACAATCACCTGTCCTTTGGCCTGTATGGAGCCATCCTCGTTGTCCACCTCATCATCCAGAGCCTCTTTGCGCTGCTGGAACACAGAAACATGAGAAGATCCTTAGAGACTCCCATCAAACTCAATAAATCCTTGGCCTTGTGCATTGCGGCGTATCAGGAGGACCCAAACTACCTGAGGAAGTGCCTGGTGTCGGTGAAGAGGCTGACGTACCCGGGCATCAAAGTGATCATGGTGATTGATGGGAACTCAAACGATGACCTTTACATGATGGAGATTTTTAAAGAGGTGATGGGATGGGACAAGGCTGCCACCTACATTTGGAAGAGTAACTACCACAGCAGGGGGCCCGAGGAGACGGACGAGACCTATGCCGAGAGCCTTCAGCAGGTCTCCAGGCTGGTGCTGAACAACAAGTGTATCTGCATCATGCAGAAGTGGGGAGGAAAGAGAGAAGTAATGTATACAGCCTTCAAAGCATTGGGACGGAGCGTGGACTATGTTCAGGTAAGACCTGAGAGAAAATGAATAGGTGGATTGATTATGATAGAAATTAGACAAAAAAATGGTTTAGCTTGGGTTAAATAAGGGCGCACAGGGACGTGGGGAGGGGAGAGAAGAGTACGGGCCACATTAGGTAAAATCAATGATAATTAGAGTTACGGACACGACTAAAAATGGAGAGAAGGAAAAATGGAGATGAAAAAAGAGGGTGGGGGTTCTGCCAAGCTAAACACGGGGTTCCACAAAGAGTCTTTTGTGCAGCAGGACGGTTGACTGCCTGCATCATGTTGTGTGGAGCAGCTTGAAGACAGGCAGCAGTAGCCGATGTCCAAGTGTAATATTGTTTCACGCAGCTGAGTGTGAAGTCATCTACACGAGTGCCGTGAAAAGTCAGGTGCCAACGTTGTGTTGGGGAAAATTTGAATTTGATACACATTTGTTTACTGGGTCACAAATAGTTCAACGTTAACTGGGACACATGACTGTAAATGTAGGGCAGAAAAGAGTGGAATCAAAAGAATCACTGCCATCAGTGGAAATCAGTGAAACAACAGTCATTTCAGTCCCAGTTAATGACACCTAAATTGTATCTTTTGGAAAAGCCAGTTTTCCCGAGTGGCTTCCAATGGGGAATACTACCAACATTGTGTGGTGTTGTGGCCAGCAACATTGTATAAGCAGGCACTGCAAAGACTGACAGCAATGTCAGGCTTTTAGGTTAATTGGCGATCAGGAAACGTGTCTTTAGGCAGCGTGGGTGTAATGTCAGAGGACTTGTGGGTATTTTTGGTGACAGTAAATACTTTGGTCATGAACTACAGACACATTTATTAAAAATGATTCCCTTATACTGCTCTTCTCCAACTTTAAACCTTTGTCCCGTCTTCTTTTTACTGGACTCTACTCATCAGGGTTAACTAGTGAGATTAACTGCCTCATTTGGTCATTAAGTGATCTGCCATTTAGGCTTTTTAATATCTCATGTATAATGGTTGTATTTTGCAGATGTCTCTTTGGGACTGAAAACAAACTGACAGACAGAAATGATAAGCTGAAGATTGATGTTACATGTTCGATTTTGAACATATTAAGCAATTCTCGTTTAGAAAAATAGTCCCCAGGGCTATAAACTTGTGTTTTTTCACCAGAGTAAAGGGTCTGTAACTAATTCACAAACCTGGAATAAGTGAAAGAAAACTAAATGCTCTGTCAGAGGAGAAAGTGGAAATACAAACAATTCATCAGCGTTAATTTGAGATTCCAATGACTGTGGAGTACATTGAAATATATAAAGTAAACTTTAAGAATATAATTGTTTGATATAATGATGCTAACACCTGTGGCTGCAGGCCAGAGCCAAATAAATATGTACTATGAATATTTCTGAAGAATGAACAGCTGTGCTTCAAGTCGTCATCCTAGTCTTTTTTATTTGCAGTAGAAAGATGGAACATTGTGATAGTCAGTCAGTTAGGGGAAAAAACATCAACCACCTACTCTTACTTTAGTTGTGGGGTTAAAAAAAAACTAGCACGTTATCTCTACATTAACCAAATCAGCCACACGGCACGAAGAGCAGAGAATTCCTTAGTATATAATGATCCCATTGGTTCATTCTATTAATGTATAAACATAAAAAGCAGCACATTGAGTTATTTTAATCTAATACAACCTCCAAAGATCTGTCAACACATGTCTGTAGTACAGTGGTCATACAGGTAATGACTTTACATGTGTTGTTCCATTTGCAAACATGTGCAAACTGTTTTCAGTTCAACAGGTTCACACCCATCTGTTTGATGTTCACTGGTTTGATGTCAGTTAGTTAACTTAACTGTTAACTGAAAGATAAATCAGAGCGCACTAATGGCTTTTATTTAATTTCACCAGTTTGGAGTCTGTGTCTTACTCTTGGACTATAACACGGGGAGTTTGGGCACTAATGGGAACTTGGTTGCATGAAAGCAAATTAGCACGATCAATCAACCAATTGAACCGAGTGACAAAAAGAAGTTAGTCTTTAATTTGATTCCACTAGACAGCTGAATGGGAATAGGACTGGGAAGTAATACGTTTGGGTAAAAAGACGTGACTTGATGTGAAAGAGCAGCAATAAGGAGTGACTTCATTTAGACTTACTTTAAAGCTGCTTCTCTCATCTCTGTTCTGAAAACTACACAGGCCCTCTGTGGCAGGGATCAAGGAGAGAAAAAAGAAAGAAAGAAGCATTGTCTGCTGTTGGCTAATTTCAAAATGTGTTGATCCAACATGGTCACCGCAGACAGTAAATGATAATTACTTAAACAGAAAGAAAGACACAAAGAACAAAACTAAGTAAGAAAGAATGAAACGTTGTTCGCCGTGGGCTAACGTCTAATTGTGGTGATCCAACATGGCCGCCACAGACTTTTATGACAATTACATGACTTAACAGGCAGGTATTCTGTTTGCAGCACTACAATTAAAATAATCCCTGTTTTGTTGTGAGGATAATCAAGGTTAGCATGGAGTGCTACATTTAAAGACCACCTCACTACTGGTATAAAAATACATTTGATAGCACAAAATGTGTTGGTTGAGGATTTCAGTTGTAGTTCTTTCGCAGGAAGCCCCTGCTGCAGGACTACATCCAAAACTTAATTTCCTGTTGCCTCTAAAAATAGCCACAAAAGTGCAAAAACATTTTTATATATGGTTATTACAACAATAGCTTCGTGGATTAATGTGACATTTGACCAGAAACATGTAATCAAGTCACAGTTTTGGTTTGTAACTTTTACTCAGGTGTGTGACTCTGACACCATGCTGGACCCAGCATCATCAGTTGAGATGGTGAAGGTATTAGAGGAGGACCCAATGGTTGGAGGTGTTGGAGGAGATGTCCAGGTTTGTAACACTATACAATTTAAAATATTGTTATCATGAGCATTTAATGACAGATTTTTGTAACTCCAACCTTTATTTTTGACTTAACCAGATCCTGAACAAATACGAGTCGTGGATCTCCTTCTTGAGCAGCGTGCGATACTGGATGGCCTTCAACATTGAACGGGCCTGCCAGTCCTACTTTGGCTGTGTACAGTGCATCAGTGGGCCTTTGGGAATGTACCGCAACTCACTCCTGCATGAGTTCGTTGAAGATTGGTACAACCAGACATTCATGGGATCCCACTGCAGTTTCGGGGATGACCGCCATCTCACAAACAGAGTCCTGAGCCTGGGGTATGCCACCAAATATACAGCCAGATCAAAGTGTCTCACAGAAACACCAATCACGTACTTACGGTGGCTGAACCAACAGACTCGATGGAGTAAGTCATACTTCAGAGAATGGCTTTATAACTCAATGTGGTTCCACAAGCACCATTTGTGGATGACTTATGAGGCTGTGATCACGGGCTTCTTCCCCTTCTTTCTCATCGCCACTGCCATCCAGCTCTTCTACCAAGGAAGGCTCTGGAATATTCTCTTATTTCTGCTCATAGTGCAGGCAGTTGCACTGATCAAGTCGTCATTCGCCAGCTGCCTGAGAGGTAACATTGTCATGGTGTTCATGTCGTTCTATTCAGTACTGTACATGTCGAGCCTGTTGCCTGCCAAAATGTTTGCAATAGCCACAATCAACAAGTCTGGATGGGGGACCTCTGGGAGGAAAACAATCGTGGTGAACTTCATTGGCCTAATTCCAATTTCCATTTGGTTTTCCATCCTCTTCTTCGGGATTATCTACACAGTAATCCTGCAGGCTAAAAAACCCTTTCCCGATTCAGAAAAGATCATTCTGGTTGTAGGGGCAGTTGTCTATGCCAGTTACTGGGTCGTACTGTTGACGTTGTATGCAGTGCTCATCAATAAGTGTGGCAAGAGGAAAAAGGAAACCCACTACGATATGGTGCTGGACGTATGACTTACGGTCATTGTTTACCACTGAACTCTCCATTTCTGGGTTATTTTCACAGACACTGTGTTTATGCGACGCAAATGTTTTTCAGATGCAGAGCAGCTCTGGAGGCAAAATTGTTTGAGTTTAACCAAAATGGGGGAAAAGAAACATGATTTATTCAAACTTGAAAATAGCAGAAATATTGACAGCAATGGCTGCCGTCATTGTCCATTTACTATTCATGTTGGAAAATCCGAACACTTTGTACTGGGTAACCAGTGTCGTCCTTCACATACATCCACAGTCTGACGATTTCATTCTATTTTTGTTACATTTACACCAACTCTGTAAGGGTTTCCTCTCTGGTCGACACCTCATCTCACCAAATTTGGCACATATCAGCTGTAGAGTTTATCAAAGAGTCTTCCGGCTGACAGTAAAACTAACAAACCTTTAAAACCGAAGGTGTAAAAACACACCTTTCCTGATATGTTCATCTGAATATCACCTAGCATATGGATAAAACCTACATAACTGTACCAAGAACACACACATAGCAGTTGGCAGCAAGAGCCCGCAAGGCTCTGAATATTAGCTACCTCTTAACCATTGTCATTTTCACTGGGATTCAGTTGAACATTACCAACTAAGCCAAGGAAACGGTGGACTTTTGGCTCGCCTATTGTGGTTGAACTTGATGGATAAGAGTATTTTACCTCCAGAGCATTGTTGTGTCTTCAAAAAATATTTGTCCAGCCTAACTAATAGCCAGTTTTGCCAATGAAAAACTGCAAAATCACTTCGGCATCAGGAACTGTAGAGGTAAACAGTATTACAAACCGATGTAATGTACTTTGGATTGTGTTTGTGAAACTAAAAGGCCATTACTGCAACAAGAAATAAACAAAACATCAAAGGTACAACAGCACCTGTTATTACCTTTTCTGAGAGATGTTCTGTAAGAATCCAAATCTGCAGGAAAGGTTTATAGATGGAGAGCTGCTCTCTTTTGTTGCACTCATGTCATACGGATAACACACAAACTTTGTCCTTGCATTTTGTAAATGTATTTATAATCCATCCATTGCAGCAGGGCACCGTTTAACTTTAAATGACTGTAACTGCCAGATGTCTGTGTTTGTGGGTGACATGAGAAAATAGTCAAACTGCATCACCCTTGTTTCCGTATGTATTTTGAATGTGAAACGGTGTGGTAGTTCCTCAGAAATTATCCAGTCGTGGTAATAAATGGCTATATCATATGTTGTAATGCTTGAATGTGGGGAAACGTCCAGGTCATTCCTTGGATTTTTGTTTTTGTTTATATCCCCATATGACATGAATGCAGATTGTTTTTGTTTTGTTTTATTTTTCAGCGTTTACAAAGTGAAGAATCTCAAACTGATCACCGGTTGTTAGATATAATCTCCACCAGATCAGGTGACCAGGCAAACATGTGACCAGAGGGGAGACATACGATTGCTGCTGTGACTTTTTTTTTTTCAGAATCCATGAGTTTTTTTACACTCCTGTTTTTAAAATATGAATGATAGGTGTATTTCGCAATTATTTTTAGTATATTTTTTTCCGAGCTGATTTGACAACACCAAGCAGACAGTTTTTTCATATGTCCTTGCTCTTTTCCTTCGTTCACATACTGTATAAACTGCTTCCTGGCACTGTGTCCAATGACCTGCAGGAGAAGCAGTAAATGTGAGAAGAGAAAAACTAAATGTACCTGATTTCAGTACTACCCAATAATAGGAATGTGAATGGGGCACTTTATGGGAGGTGTAACCATCAGTCTGGAATCGAACATGTTCAGCGTTTCCTATAGAGCAAAGATCAACATGAGTTTAATTCTTATGCACTTTTATGTCTCTCCTGTCATCCGGTGTGACACTTGACGTAATCAAGATGAAATACCTCAGTGGTTGTCTTTGCATTGCATCAAGGCATCAGGATGCTGTCTAAAGACTGATGCATTCTGAACACGTCAAGTAATTTATGATCTGTTTGTAATGTTAAATATAAAAGTGTCCTTTTTTGTATGCATTTCTAATTAAGTCAAAGCTGGATCTCTCTGCCATATTGGCCCTTTGCTGTAGCCATTTACTTATTGTTACCTTGTATTTCATTGCATTTTTATATAAACAGACATGGTATTCTATTTTTGCTTATAACAGCCAAAGATTCTTTATTTTCAGTTATGTTTTTTTGTAAGAAAAAAAAGAAAAGTGTATTTGTTGTTTCTTCCGATTGTTCTGACAATGACTTGTATATCTTACCAAACAATGTGAAATTATGAGCTGGGGGGTTTGTCTGCAATACAACAGTAAAAATGCATTTTGTAGGGATAAGTTATTAATATGGAGAGATGAGATGAACCTGTGTTTTTGTACCAGCGTATTTATGTAAGGACATTCTGTGGTTTACAGGATTCTACAAGGATTCAGTCATTGTAAATAAAATCCCTTCTACGTGTCTACACTGCAAAAATGGGAAAATACATTATTTTAGATAAATATCTTATACACCTAGATCTTTTGGGATGGAAAGAATTTGCAGTGTGGCAACTCTATGGCCATGGTGCCTCCTGTGTTGATCTTTAGATACAATTAAAAATACAATAAAGCCAAAGCAGACTGAAAACCGTGAAAAACATTTGTACATAAATTGCAAAGTTTCTATTTGTTAAAGTCATGAAGTGCCTTACGATGCAGTAACAACCAAAGAACCGGCAACATTTCCTACAGTATTCCAGGTTGTAACGAAGGAGACCAACAGTCAAACCAAACTAGTGAAGCCTGACTAGCAATGTGCAGTGTCATTCTCATGAAGCACTTTTGTGTTGTGTTGCCAAATAAAAACAACAACTGTCTCAATTACCTGCTGTTTGAGTGTGTTTACTTTAATAATAATAATTTAATATACCCTCATGAAATTTTAAGGTGCGGTGAAGTACAACTTAAGTGCATCTAATTTTAAAAATCCGTAGTTGTATTTTGCATTGGAAAATACAATAAACAGAATTGGAGTAATGTTCTATTCAGAAAGTCCTAAATCACTGGTCAGCACCGAGGAACATTTATATATTATAGACATTGAATAACATTCATGTCATTAAAGACTTCACAGTAGCGGTCACCATTTGTCAGAGGGCCAAATGGCGACACGTTGGGGCTGGACACTCAAATTAAATGAAATAAAAATAGATATTTTCTCTTTGATCCTCACAATGCAGCCGCGGTCCGGATTGACGGGCTGGATGATGTAATAAACTAGCAACTTTACAAGAACGCATATTAGCTTTTTATAGGTTAGCATCAAGCTACAGCAGCAACCATTAAAAATACCTGCAGTTGGTTTATACAGAAGCAAGGAAGTCTAGAAAAATAACAATGACTGTAGCAGTAATGGGCCCACTGTGCTGGTTTTTGTAACATGGTGAAGTGTGTAGCCCAAAGGTGAGTTAGTCATTGTGAATCTTGACTGAACTTCCAGTCGGTCCATCCAATCCAGTCACAACAAACAGATTCTTTCTATGAGTCTCGCAAAAAAAACAACAAATGTGCACACATACATTTAAGGACATCAGCCTAAAGGCTGCACGTGAACATGTGCAGACATGACTGCAGTGATTCAGTGGACTGGACTGGACGTGGCTGTTGTTGCCAGCTGGCTGGTCAAACGGTTACTGTAGCCAGAAGGTGTGTATGTTGTATGGTTCCGTATCAAATCAGATGACTCATAAGAAGGAGAACAGGGATCTTTTATCAGAGGGTGGACAGTTTTCCTAGATAAATCTTATCTGTTGTAATACTCACACACTCACATATGCAAATATTTGTACTTATAAGGAATTTGAGTTTAGGACTGCAGAACATTTGTTGGTCTAATAGTCATTTCTTGTCATAGAAAATATTCCCTGAGAGAAAAAAAATCCAGCTTCCTTTCTGTTAGTCACTGTTTGTTGTACTATGCGTCTGGCTTTCTCTGCTGGCATCATGAATGGAAACTTCACATGTTCTGCGGCTCATAGTTTTCATTTTCTCGTTACTGAAGTTTCCAAGTGCTAATTGTAATCTCCTCCTCACGTTTTGTTATATAAAATATCAATCAGCGCTCTTCAAAGTTATAGACGATGATCAAAACCGACCACAGCCTTCTTAATCTCCCTAACCACGATCAGACACAGCATGACCTCCACATCATCTTCCTTTATTTACAACAACACTTGAGAATTAATGAGTTTGTTTTTGCCACACACAGAGCTATGTAGAAGTACTAACATTTAAAAAACCACAGCTAACTTAATGCTATTTTTGAAACTGCTAATTAAATGAGGCAACTATTCTATTTAACATCAATTTTAGTCATCATTCATTGTATTTTTTTTAAAAATTCCCCACTATTTTCATCCACCCTGGTCAGATCACACATCAAAAACTGGGTCTCTCTTCGGTCCCACACTCACAGACTTTCATGGGTCAGACCTTGGATGCTTGTATCATCACCAAAAGCTCCTCCATTAATCATAACACTCCCCTTCACTGTCATCTTCTCTGATTTCTGGCAAAATGTTGATTGATTTCAAAATGTCTCTTTTTTTTTTACTTTTAACATCATTACATTCCTGGGCAGCAGCTGCAGCTGCACCTGCCCCTCCACCTCAACCTGCACTCTATGGTTTCCATTTTACATAAAATTCCTTTGAAACACATCTGTTCACACTGGCACACTCGCACAGAACGTCTGCTATTTTAACGCTTATTTACTGTGGTTTTTAAAGATTGTAAAGATGTCTTAATATTTTAATATATTGTGGCTGTTCGGTGTACTGTGTATATATATATATATGCTCAGCATTTGTATAAACAAAAATGGGCAAATTGTTTTTCATTAAAGCTAGCTATAAAATATGGCATTTCCCTATTTGTTAGACAGACTGAAATTGTCAGGTCTGTCTCTTCCCTGTTCTTGCTGTCTGCTGTGTGGGGTAATCAGTGTCATCACACTCACCTGTGTCTCTGTGATTAGTCTCACTCGTATCACCTGGTGCCCTTTGTATATATACACCTCTCTCCCTCACGCTGTCCTGGTGGGATCATTGAATCCTGACAGGACTAACAGAGTTTGGTTGGGGGTCACTGCATTTAGGAGTTCTGTGGTTATCAATTTCTTCTATTAATATTACAAAACTTCATCAACCATGACAAGCACTGGTACATTCACCAACCCTTGGGAATGACTGCCACATATCAGTAAATGTGTTGATCTTGACTAAATCTTACAGCCATTTACTTCAAGTAGAGTAAAAAATGGAGTCTGACTTCTCCTTTATTTTGCCTGGCTGTAATTTATCACCATTAAAAGTCTTGACCAACATTTTTACAAACTCTCTGCGTCTCCTGTGTTGTGTATCTCTGTGAAATAATTCTCATGTGTGTGGAGGGAAATAGCACATGTGGGTAGAGCAGCAGCAGGAGTGGGCCAGACTTTTCTCTCAGTGCGTCAGCATTCAACACTAGAGCGGCTCCGACTCTGCCAAACTCATTACACAATGTTTAGCACCGTTGCTAGCAAGCTAATGGCTCCCCACTGGCAGCCATGTCTTCAGCAGCTGAGTGAGTTTTACCCTGTTTGTCCCCCTCAGCTGGGAGCACCGGGGCTCAAAACTGCACTGCCCTCTTACCCTTACCCTCATCGCAAAGACACTAACCCAACATTTTGGAGTTTTAACTTTATTTAACTTTAAATCCAATGCTCGCCCCAGTGGAACATTTCATCACAGAGACTTAAACTTTGCTCAACTTGGCTAGCACAGCTTTAAAGCAGCTTTTACAGCTCCCCTGTGCTAAGACTGTGTCTAATGTGGGCTGTATGAGTTTGGACCATCATTTTGGGAGAGCGTACACTTTTCAAATAATATAACAAGAGAACGATGTGACACCCAACAAATGCCAATTTTAAACCAAAAGTTCAAAATGTATTAATGTTGAGAAGTGTCTATGGAGTGTACAGAAATGAATATCACAACAAAGTAGATAAAAACCATGCTGGTTTTGGCAGTTGGTCTATTTGAATGGAAATCTAAATTTC